CGTGAAGATAGTGGATTCCAGCGGCGTCATGGTGAACGTCCAGGCATGGATCCCAGTAAATGTCGAGACCTCTTGCTCCGTGAACGTCTACTGGGCCCGTGTGGATACGGAGTGGAAGCGGCTCATTCTGAACGAGTATTCGATGATCCAACCTGGCGATGAGGGGGGCACCCCGCCTCTGAGGTGCCGATTCGCGACTTGGTCGTAATGTTCGGACATGTCGCCAGCGTAGCTCTTCTGCGCGGTGGCGGAGACGACGGAAACAATGACGACGTTGACGGCCAGGACGGAGGAAACGCGTCGGAGGGAAACACAGGACGAGGACGACGACGCGCGACATCAAGGAGCGACGACGCCACAACGCAGAACGACGACGAAGACGCGACAGCGATGACGACGACGACGATCGCGACAGCGATGACGACGACGACGATCACGACAGCGATGACGACGACGATGGCGGCGGCGACCGCGACGGGAGCACTGGTTGCGGCGCCTCGCGTCGCTCCGCCAAGTCGCCTTTCGCCTGCAGCCTGCCGCCTGCCCCTTGCTTTCCGCCAGAAAGATCGCCAGCTTTCCTGTCCCCGGCAGTGCAAGCTGAGGCGCAACCCTCCCCCATCCGTCGCCCCGCTCACCGTGCCTCATTCAGTGTGGCCGCCGTCGTGGCGAACGCCGTCACGTCGGTATTCTCGGTCGGCCTCTCCCCCCCGATCCCCCACGTTGCGGTTGCAAGCCTGTGTGCGAGGCCAGTTCTGTCAGTGTGTGTGGGCGCTGAGGCAGTTCGCCTTGTGCTCACGCGTTTGCTTTGTGCTCACACGATGACGCGCGACACGTGAGGCAGACGTCGATCGTGCTCGGCGTCTCGCGAGGGAGGGGTTTGGCAACGTTCCGATGCCTCCCCAGTGACACGGTACGGCTTTGGTACTAGGTCACGGAACAATCTCGGTGTTCGCTTGGAAGAAAAGTTCAGAAGGACCCAGATGCAGCAGCGAGATGGTGGATGATTCGACGGTGGGTGGGTGGTGGATGACCGCCATTTGCGTGTTTGGTCCAGGCATGTTGGGCCACGCTGGGGCCATCCGGAGGCCTCAGCGGGCCATCGGATACGACGAGGGGAGACGTTCAGTCAGGGGGCGGCGGGCGCAGCCCTCACCGCGATCCCGGCACGGTAGACAGACAGACAGACACATACAGACCGACAAGCAAACAGACTGAACAGAACCACGAAGCCGTCAAATCGCAGTTAGCGGTTCGCGAGTGGGCAGTGAGCTCGGGGGTGTCGAATGCACGGGTGAGGGGCACCTCATGATTTTGGTATGGCGGCTGTTGCTCATATGTCGGATTCAGTTGTCCTCGGAAAGTGTGTGAGAGAGTGCTGAGGTAGCCGTTGCCAACCAGCGGGGGGTGGGTAACGGTGGGCCAATTATACAGCAGACCACCAGCCACGCATGTCCCGGATGCCCGGTCCAGGCAAGAGGGGGGGGGACCGGAGCGTATTGAGGGGACAGTTTGACATCCGGCGGGTGAGGATATGTTAGGTGTCGTGGGCAGCCAGCGGGTAAGAACTTGTCGGGCGGTGATCCGGGGGTTGAGCCGCGGGTGTTTGGATACTTCGGGGGCTGGTCTGACGCCGACGGAGGAACGGTTCCAGGATTCGTGTGAGGCGAGCGATGGCGACATGTGGGGGTGCGGCAGTGTTAGGGCAGTAGTGTTAGGGCAGTAGTGTGAGCAGTAGGTGAGAAGAGCGGGTCAACCTAGTTCGGTAGTGTTTCAATAAGTGTTCGAGCCTGCGCCGAGTTGGTAAAGGCATTGTGGCAGCCGGACGGTCTCGGACGCGTGCCCAGACGTGGTTGGACTTGGTTTCCGACGTGGCGATGTTTGGGCCCAGACGTCCCTGCTCGCCGGGTGGGCTCGGACGTCCCCCTCGTCGTCGTCGTCGTCGTCGACTCCGCCGCCACCGCCGTCGTTGTCGTCGTCGTCGTCGTTGTCGTCGTCGTCGTCGTCGTCGTCGTCGTCTATCGTTATCGTCGTCGCCGTCGCCGTTGCCGGCGTCGTCGTCGTCGCCGTCGTCGTCGTCGTGTCCGTCGTCGTCGCCGCCTTCGTCGTCATCGTCGTCGTCGTCGATTTCGCGAGCGATGCGCAGGTCCGCCATGCATCGTGATTCGGGTCTTGTGGGGGAGGAAAGGGCTGAAGAGAGATAGTGGGTTGGGCTGTCCAGGGGAGGCAATGACATCTTTCATCGTCTGCCCGACCGCCGCCACCGCCCCGGCGATGGCCACGCGTAAGGGCGCCAGGGCCGCGGTGGAGAGCGTATTAAAGGAGAGCTCACGATCCCCATCTTCCCTAGCTTCGCTGCTTTGTCCTTCTTCCGATTTGTGGCATCGACCGCTGTACTATTCCTTGGACTCACACTTTACGTGTCCCCCGCTTCCAGGAGATATCGGACGCTTTTGTACACAACAGTATTCGTCAGGGCTCGGATTGGTCTGAAGTTCAGTTTGTTTGCTGGGTACGTATGTTCTTCTCCTCTGGTTGCTTCTCTTCTGTCGTCTTCCCCACAGCCTTCCTCTGATTGGCTGATTGGTGAGATTGCCTAGCCGTTTTCAGAAAAGGCCTCCCGCATGCTCTGTGTGATTCTGGTGTGTGCGGGAGCGCGGAGGCACATTTCATCATTGTCCCGCCACTCTGAGCGTTCACGTCCACCCAACCGCGTGGGTGTCCAGGCCACAGAACTGATCCCTCGATGTTTAATTCGCTCTGTTGCTGTGGTAGTTATCCAGCTGCTTGCGGCGCGTCCCGCCACCGTGCCAGTCCAGCTTGCTCGATGGGGATTGCTCGAGATGACATAGGAAGCATCTTGGTTGTTCGTTGGGATATGTATCGTGCGAGGCCTTTCGGAGGTCCGTTGGAGGTAGTTTTGAGGCCCCTTGGGGGCTGTTTAGGCGCCTGTTGGAAGCTGCGTGGGGTTCTCTTGAATTTTTGGAGGCCTCTTGGCATCTCCTGGAAGCCGCTTCTGGAAGCTTCTCCGAGCACAGCGACAGATCTGTAGGTGTGTACTCCTCCTGGGCTGTCTTCGGGCGTGTCCAAAGCTGTTTGGAGGCCCTCTTGGGCCGTCCTTGGACCCTCTTGGGGGCCTCTCGTGACGTCGTCAGGCGCTCCTGGAAGTTCCTGGAGCTGTGACGAAGCATCGGGTGGTCGCCAAATCGGTAGCATGAAACACATTGGAAAACATTATGGAAGTATAAGTGTGGGGTTTTTTCGAGGCTCTCTCGGGCGTCCTGTTGGAGCGTTCTTGGGGCTTCACCGTGGCTTTGAGGTTGTCTTGGAAGCATCCTGGGTTGTATTGGCGGCTTTAGTGGCCTCCCAAGCCCGTCTTGGAAGCCACCTTGGGTGCATCGGACACCTTGGAGAGGCTCACGGACATGTCTTGGCGCTGACAGAGCATCGGGAAGACGGGGCGCTGATTCCGGATGAGCGAACGCTAGCCAAGAGGTGGGGCGGCCCTCAGAAAGATCACAGAAACTCTACACACAGCACGCCTCTGGCCCATTGGGCCGTGGAAGTAGTATATCGTTGTCTCCGGATACATGTCTCTATGTCGCTACATCCGTGTTTTTGTTTGTCACTCGCGCGCTCTCTTTCGTCCGTTCCCATGTGTTCGCGCTCGCTCCTCGCCCAGTGCCCTCTGCCCCCGGGCCGGTCAATTCTTCGGACTGCCGTTCTCTGACGCCGTGCGCTCGCTCCTCCTCCTTCTCCCCCTTCGTTGGAGTTCCGCATTCTGAGTGACGCGCCTGAGGACGGAGCGGAGGCGTCGGTCGAGCACCTGCGCAAGGTGATCCCACAGGGGAAAACCGTCTACGCAGGGGACCTAGATGCCGGGACGGCGCGGGCGGCAGGCCGCGGTCGGACACACGGGTGTGGTCTCGGGATGGATTACGACAGCTCCGATTCGTTTGGGGAAGGTGGGATACAGTGCCCGACGACGGGTGACGACGGAGGAGGACACGCGTGCCGAACAGACGGGTTTTAGAAGGGGGTGGTCGTTTCGTAGGGCGTCACGGCAGCGGTAGACCTGGTAGAGATGACATAATGGCACGCGTGGGAGTTCATCCTCGTCGCGTGGTAGTGAATGCTCGCTGCGATCTCATGTCGTGCGCGGCGTTTTCGACATCGGGGGCCTCATAGAACCTGCGGCGGGAAGCAGCCTGACAACAAGGCGACCTGGACTTTCGGTGTTCGGGGTCGATTCGGGGTGGATGTTAACAGACTGCCGGGCATAGAAGCATTCTGTCTTCCGCCCATGAGCCCAATGTAAGGTTCAATTCGTGGACTCCTCGGCGTTCCCGGCGGGCGACGTCGAGCGCGCCCTGACGACGCTCGGGCCCACCCGCAGGCTTGGCGCAGAGGACTGCTCCACTTCGTGTTTTGATCGCAGGCGATGCTGTGCCCCGCGTCTCCCCCTCCACCCTTCTCGCCCCCTTCACTCTTCCTCTCGTTGCGTGGCTGACATGGAGCTCCGCATCAGGTCTCCTTGACCTCGTTCGCATGGCGCGGACGCTCCATTTCGGCACGCCTTTCACATGCATAGGAAGTTCAATTCAGATGCCAGCAGAGCAGTCCGCGAGGCGCTGCCTCTATCATGGCACACTACTAACACGTGTCGCGGTTCCATAGTGAGCTGCACATTTCCGCTCCCCCATGGGAACCTCCGCGACTGGTTTCATTTGCGCGATTTCCTTGCCGCCGGCGCCCGACTTGACACGCCCGTATCACGTTGCGTACCTCACAGGGAGCCTCACTTACGGTCCCACTAGCGCAGTCCGCATGGCGCCGGCGCACCATGTTGACACACCGATCACATGTCCAGCTTCGTTAATGCGGTAGAGTGGACGAGTGGACGCCCAAACCGTGGTGCTGGTTGGTGGGCCCCCGAGGTAAGGCGGCAGTCCGTTCCACGCGTGCCCGCGCTGCCAGTTTTCCCTGCGGGGCTGGGATCGCAGGAACACAACGAGCGGGTGTCCAACGACAACTCGTTCAAGGACAGGATGTCCCGCAAGGAGGAGGGCGTGGCGTCTCAGCGGCAGGCCATTGAGATGGCCACCACCGTCGCGGCCCTGGCGTCCTCGAAGCGCAAACGCAGCCGAAAGGTTGCGGAGGAGGGCACCGCAGGGGAGCACCGATACAACGCCCAGGTGTTGTATGCTGTACGCTGTTTTGTTCAAGTTCCGGAGAAATCGGAGTGTGTCTACAGATGAATTTTGCGCCTCTCCAAGCACAGATCGTGAGTAGAGGATGGTGCCTGTGCGATCATCAGAACCTCCCCTTGACACGGTGTCGCAACGCCAGACAGAAACAGACCGAGATGTATGTGTGGCCGTCTGGCGAAAGCCGTCGTTCCGATGTGACACACAACCATTTGTTTCATGTGATTCGTTCAACACGTCCGACAATTTTATATAGTTATACTGGTAGCGGATGATGCGGATCCACGTGCAATCGCGACGGCGTGTGGTGTGTATGGTAGTGGTAGTGGTAGTGGTAGTGGTAGTGGTGATGGTGGCTGAAGCTTCCGGGCTCGGGAGGCGCTCGCGCGCACGGCCCAGATCGCCACCGACGTGGCGCGCCGGTCCGCGCGCGCTTTTGTGGCATTTCAGGGGGGGGGGAAGGGGAACAGAAGAAGGGACATGGAAGAAAATGGGGTGGGTGAGGAGGGTCATGACAGAAATGAGAGGGCGGGGTAGGAGGTGAAAAACGGCGTCGCCGCGGGGGAGGAGGATGAAGGGCAAGAGCGAGAGGGCAGGGCGTGGCATAGGTTCAGACGCGGTTTGGGGGGGGGGTTGAGATCGACGGAATGTCGTTGGAGTGGTACCTGCACTCGCTTTGCCGCGTGTGTATGGTCAACGATGGATGGGCGCGGAAAGCCACGGCAAGGTGAAGAGGATAGAGACAAGAAGGCATAAGGCGTAGAGATTCACACCTCAGGTGCCCTGAGGAAATTGTTGTCGCTTCGCGAATCCCCACCAGCCCATCCAGAAACGATGCCCAGAGGAATTGCCTCGATCAGAGAAGTGGGCAGCACACAGAGGAAGCCATTATGAGACATCTTGGGATATCTTGAGCCATCTTGGAGGTCATTTTGGGCTCTCCCAGACGCTCTTGGAGTCATCTTAATCCGTGCCCCCCCCCAAGAGGCCTCCATGTGGCTAAAACCTGTGTAGAATCAATGATTAGGCATTCTCGCCGAGGCCTCTTGGAGCATCTTGGGTGCATCTGGGGGGGCTCTTGGGGCCTCTTGGGGGTCTCTTGGGGGCCTCCGGGGGGCCTCTTGGGGGCCTCTTGGGGCCATTTGGGGCCATCTTGGGACCTCTTGGGGCTTCCTGGGCGCTTCTTGGGGCCATCTTGGAGGAGATCGATCAAACAAGAGGGGGGGTTTAATTAGCGCCCCCCCTCGGAAGCCCCTAAAATCGCCTCTTGGACCCCTCTTGGAACGCTCTTGGAGTGCTCTTGGGCGCTCTTGGGGCCGTCTTGGGGCTCTTTTGGGGCTCTCTTGGGGCCCTCTTGGGCCATCTTGGAACCATCTCCAGGCCTCGGATGGCCATCGGAAGCGAAAAGGCGAGAAAGCAAAAATCATTGATTTTCCTTAGGTTTTGGGACGATTTTGGCCTCTTCGGGGCCTCCTTGGGGAGCTGTTTGGCCACTTGGAGTTATCTTGGGGCCGTCTTTGGGCTTCTTGGAACCATCTTAGGAGCCATCTCGAGCGATCTTGCGCTATCTTGAGCCATCTTGGAGCTCATCTTGGGTTCTCTGAGGCGCTCTTGGAGCCGTCTTGGGCCATCTGGGACGCTCTAACTACCCGCGGCCCCCCCCGTCCAGGTCCAGGGGAGGGGGTAGGGGGAGGGGTAAACCCCTCCCCAAGGGGGAAGAGGGAGGGGTGGAAGAGGATCTGTTCTAGACCACCTACGCCCAGAGGGCTGGTGGGATTGGCTCGAGGTGTTATCTCGCAAAGGAAATGATTCGCGGTCCTGCGACGCCAGGTTCGCGGCCTCAAGCGGACTCGCGAGGACGAGTCGTCCGAAGACGAGTAGGCGCCCAGGGGGCGGCGAGTGTGCGACGCGCAGGGGATGGCGTGAACGCAGTCTCAGAGAAGCGGGGAACGGGCGAGGGAAAGGTGGAGGAAAGAGGGGTGGGGGGAATGGAGGCGCCATGGGAGCTGCAGCGGGGAAGGGGGAGGATATGAAGGATATGGGGGAATAGGGGAATGGGAGGGGGGGGGAGGAGGAGGAGGATGATGATGATGATGAAGCGCCTTGAAAGGTCGGTTCTCCCAAAACACAAACCTGAGAAGCCACCAATACGCCAAATGCGCACGGTAGAGAAAGAGGGAAGCAGGAGGAGAAGCGGGAGAGGGAAGGGGCAGAACACAGATGAAGCCCAACCCAGGATTGAAACCCATGATACTGAAAGAAATCATGAATGAAAGACTGTCCGATGTCCCCGAATGAAATCCACCACTAGGACCCTCTCGCTTTGAATAAAGATGAGAGCAATGAGAAACGTAATGCAAGATAATGGATTATGCTCAAATTGATCAAAATATCTTGAGTGACTTGAGTAACTCGAGTAACTTGAGTAACTCTTGAAGCCAATCTTGAGGGCATATGTTCCCACGACCTGAAGTGGTTAAGAAGTGAATAGAACTTTCATTGAGTCCCATGAAACCCGATATACATAAGTGACAACCCAGTCGGATATGTAGTGAAAGAAAGCCTGACATTAAACTGAATGTCCCAAGCACGCAATGATCCCAGAAGATACGGAGGCATACAAAAATGAACTTTAAAGCCGAGTGAGAGCCCAACCGTGAGAACCCACCTCAGGTGAATCAAGGCATATGAAGTAAGATTGAATTCTAACAACTTTGACGCAGGAAGGCTGGGGATGTTTATGGCTTTGTATTTTGCCAACCACCGACGTTGAAGAGCATGCAAGGGAGATTGAAGGGGAACTGAGGGACCTCGAAAAGCCGCAGGCCCATGCACCGCAGACGCCAAGAGGTTCAGACTGTGGGAGTCCCAGGAGAGGCCTTTACGGATACTTCCAACGCCACTTTTCCACAAAGAAGTCTCCGTCCCACCAGTAGTCAGACAGGTACCATACCACTGGGTGAGGCCAGCCAGATTCGGGGTCGAACCACGTGTCATAGTACTCCGTATACCAGACTTTGGTGTAGACTTTTTCCTCTTCACAGTAGTTCCACATTCCACCTGAGCCGTGTGTCCACTTGAGACGCTTCCTAGCTGCTAGCTTGGCTGGAAGGCTGCGTTTGGCCATCCCCTGAATTGTATATGGATGTTTCCCAGCCGTCTCGGACGAGAGTTCCCGTCAGGGTTTGAGGCGAAACGGCTACTGACTAACAGCCAGTTCTTTCCAAGGGACTCTCCGAACCCTTTCGTCGGGACCCCGAACGTTGACATACAGTCTATTAAAGCCGCTGTCCCGACAAGCTTTGAAGAGCGGGATTTTGCACCAGTCATATGTGAGATGTGGACCACCAAGGTCCGATGGTATAAGAAACCGAGCTGGCAACTTGACCACCCTTTGGAATAGCAGCGTAGAGCAGTATGAGAGTGCTTCAAGGTCTTGTTTGGACAGGAAGCAGACTTTGCGTTTAGACCTGCATAGCTTCCCCTGGAAGATAACGTGAGGGTCTGACGCCTTGGGAAGTAGCATACCGAAAGCTTGAGCCCGAGACTGCAGGAGCCGACAGGAGGCAAGGGACGAGGAAGGGTCCATCAGAGGCAGACAGAGGGAGGCGGGATGGTTGCGAAGCCACGGTGTCCCTAAGATCGCAGAGATCAGGCGGGTCCCAGATAGAATCGCACAAGTGACATCTCCTGGTGTCAGCCAATCCCGTAGGCGGGAGGCAAAGAGAGAGGAGAGAACACAAAGAGGTCTCGAAACAGACCCAAATGTAAATTCCGTGGGGTGTCAAATACCCCCGCTCCCTTAGTATTGGAGCCTGTTCTCTGAGGCTGCAATTAGGTAAGATACCCATACCTCTGAGGATTCCGTAACATTAAATTTGTGCACTTGCATTCCGTGGAACATTGCCACGGCAAACTTCCGAGTGTGGGGTGCACATGGGCCACGAAAAAGGCGACGGTCTTTCCCGGTCCTAGCGAAAGACCCATGTTGATCAGCAAATGTCAAAATGGACCGAATGGAGCAGATGATGGGAGAAATCCCCTGAATAATGTTCCAGAACCGATCTGGCTCAACATACCCCGCTCCCAACCCTAACTCCATCAAATCTCCGATGAGCTCTAGCCATCGAGAAGTGTCGGGTTCCCTGTTCCACCGTTCTCGGACCATCCTCTGTACATCGGTGACACGGCCAGCGACTGATCGAAGCTCCTCCATGGACTTGGACGAAGCACTGGTAGGTTGTCTTCTTTGAAGATACCTGGCCATTTGACCCCAAATATTCCACCAGACAGTGTAAATGAAATTCCCAGGATCTGACCAGCGGTTGTCGTAGAACACTGCGCCCTTGTATGACATGGTCTTAATCTGTACAAAAGACATAGAGCGTACTGCAATTCCCACAATCCCAATAAGGTCTTTGCACGCCTTACTCGAGAAAAAATCCTCAAAGAGATTCCATAGCTGCCTGAGAGGAATCTCGAATTCGCGTCCTTTCTCGTACATGTGGAGTGTGACACATCTCCGTGGGAGGAGGAGGAGGAGGAGGAGGAGGAGGAGGAGGAAGAGGAGGAGGAGGAGGAGGAGGAGAAGCAGGAGGATGAGAAGAAATGGGAGGAGGTGGAAGAGACTCCAAAACTCCGATGGTCGAGGTGGAGGAGAATCCAAAACTGGGCCAGGAGTTTCTGAAGATTTCGTCAATATTTCTGAAGATTCCTTAGAATTCCCTGGGCTTCAGTGGGATTCCTTAGGGGTCCGCAAGAGATCCATGCGGGATCCCGAAGAGATTCCCTCCGGATTGCTTATGATTCCTTATGGATTCCTTTGAGATTCTGAGCATTCAAGGGATCTCCTGGGGATTCTTCAGGGAGCCCTTAGAAATGTTCGAGGCTGGAGCGCCACGATCCAGACGACCAGGACGTTCGTTTTGGGCCAGGAGTCCCAAAGGATTCTCTGAGGATTCCTGAGGATTCCGTCGGGATGCACTAGG